ATGGTTAGTTAGTAAACATCTAGAAAAGGAAGCAATAATCATAGTTAGGGTGGTTTATTAAAAAACTGGTAACATGAGACTAGCCTCATTTTAATTTTTTTCTCCATAGAATGACTAGGCAAATCCATCAGGGGAATGTTGTTATTATAGATTATGCAGATCTCAGCAACAAATTTTCCTTGGTGTACTTGGTGAAGAGATGTTGGCCAGAGTATCATAGTATAGTTAGGCAGATTTAGAACATGAATTGTTCTAATTACCAAATGTAAGAAAATCTCCAGTTGAGTACAGTGGGTTTTGGTCCTTAGCACTGTTTGATATAGTCAAAAACCTAGATGAAAGAATCTGTGCCTTGCTCATCAAGTTTACTGATACAAAACTGGAGAGCATAGTTAACATGTAAGATAGAGTCAGGATACTGAAAAATCTTGATGGGTTCAAATGTTGGACCAAATCTAATGACCTGAAAATTAAAAAGCATAATATTTTGTCCAAAAATGATTTCACCAGTACAAAATTAAGGAGGTATGGCAAGATAACAGTTCATCTGGAAAAAAACATCTGAGGATTTAAATGGACTGAAACTCTGAGACCACAGTGTGACAGGGCTACCAAAAAATTAACATGATGTTAAATCGGATTTAGAGAGGTCTAGTGCCTAGAATAGTAGTGTGAAACTAAAATAGAAACAGATGCTGGAAAACTGCATGTTGACTTAGGAAACCATAATTTAACATTATCTATGTTGTATTGTATTTTTATTTATTTTGTTAAACATTTCCCAATTGCATTTAATCTGGTTTGGGCTTCACTTAGAAGCTTTGTGGAGAGCATGCTGCACAGGTTGCGTTTGGACATATTTGGTCCAGAACAAGTTAGGAGTTAGTCACACTGTACTTTACCCTTGTCAGACTAAGTCTGGAATATTATGTTCATTTCTGGGTGATACATTTTTGGAAGGACATTGATAGGCCAGAGAGTATCCAGAAGAGGATGATCAGGATGGAAAAAAGACTTGAGATCATGTTCCAGAAGGAAGAAATTGAGGTATTTACCGTGGAAGAAGGGAAGACTTAAAAAGTGGAGAGATGGTAAGAAGATAAACTATCTTTAACGATATGAAGGAAAGAAGGATTAGGTTTCTGCTTGGCCTCAGAGGAAAGAAGTATGAGCAATATATTTAAAGTTATCAAGAAGCAAATTTAGGTTCATTGTAAAGAAATATATCCTATCAATGAGATGTATTCAAAGTGGCAAGTGCTATCCCAAGATGTAGTAGTTTTCTCTGCCATGGAGATCTTTAAGCAAAGGCTTGATGACCATTTATTGGGTATATTGTAGTGAGCATTTGGGATCAGACACAGGCTAGACTTCAAAAGAACAGAAGCTAGTAGTGGTCAAGACCATTTAATTTTTTTTAGAGCAGCTTTAGGGAGTGTGTAATTCCCTAAGGTATATAGGCAAGGTAAATTCTTGTAATCAACCTGGAATACAATTCTGTTCTGTTCTGGTAATAGGGCTATACTATATTTTTAATAAATATTCATCAATTTAATTTGTTTTCATGGTTTTTGGTCATATAATTGGCTATAAAATTTCTATCACTTTTATTTCCTCTATGAATTCTCCCCATTTATTTTTAATTTTGATAATTTGGCTTTCTTTTCTCTCATTTTTAAACCAAATTAGTTAATAATCTGTCTATTTCATGTGTCATTGTCAAAAACAAATCAAACAAAAATTATTTTTTTCAACTCTATTCATTCTAATTTTTTAAATCTTTCATTTTCAGGATTTCTGTTTTTGTCACTGGATATTATTAATTTGTTGGCTTTTTAGTTTTTAAAAAAAGTTAAGTGCTTAATTCACTGACCTTTTCCTTCTTTCTTCTTAATGTGTTTAGAGATACAACTTTCTCCCTAAACCTAAAGACTATCTTAGTTGCATCTGACAATTTTGGTTATAGTGCTTAATTGTTATAATTTTCTTTCGTATAATTATTTAGTGCTTCTATGACTTGCCCTTGCATTTACCAAGTCTTTAGAATTAAGTTGTTTAATCTACATTTAACTTAATTCTTTTTTTCATGTTTCTCTTGTTGATAATTTTTTATATAATATGATGGTTTACAAAGGATATGTTTATTTTTCTCTTTCTATATCTGTTTATGAATTATTTTTGTTCTAATGCAGTTATTTTTTGCAAAGATATCATACAATGCACAAAGTATATTCTTCAATATTTTCATGACAATTGTGAAAGTTCTACCCTAATTTTCTAATACTCTGTTCAGATCCTTAATTTCTTTCTTGTTTATCTGTCTTGTTAGATCTGTCTGAACCTGAAAGAGAAAGTAAAAACTCTCATGAGATTATAATTTTAATGTCTAAATTTTCCTTCTGTTCAGTAAGGTTTTTGAGATGCTATTCTATTAATAATCACACAGACACATACACATTTAATACTGATATTGTTTCATTCTCACTGATGCCTTTAAGCACAGTTTAGTCTCCTTGTTTCTCTTAATAATTTCTATTTTTATGTTTCATTATCTGTTATTGCTTTTGATTTTTAGTATTCAGTTGAGACACCATAAATTATGTTGAAACCTTCATTTTCAGTGCATGTGACTCTTTATGTTTTAAACAAGAATAGAGTCAAGACCATTCCATCCTATTTTAGCCTTAATATCTTAACTGGGTTAGAACATATCTTAAATGAATGAATCAATCATAGGCTTTATGTTAAGTGCAAAAAATGAATTGGTGTGACTTTGCACAAGATCATATTTGGATAGGCCAAAGAAATTTGACTCTGCCCCAAGGGTCATCTATTAATTATCAAGTTTGTTGAGAAGAGATTCATTCCAGAAATTGGAGCAAGTATGGCATTCTAGATAAAGCTTCCTGAGAAGGAACCCACTGGAGTGGTATTGAGGGGAGGAGTGGTCTTAGCTTTAGCATCAGTTCTCCTCACCTCCTCTTTGATCAGAAGAAGACTTGCAATCTTTGAAGGACTGGACTTACCATTCCTCCATCAGGACTTTACTAGCATCCTCTGATCAGCCAAGGATAGACTAGATGAAGATTCACTCCTCCATAGTTAGTTCAGCAAAGAAACTACACCAAAGAAAACTTCTTGAGTCTCCCACAAATGGGAGAAAAGAACTTCTAGCAATCAGGAACTATTATTCCCTCACCACATGTGTTCTTAGAGCTTGTATTCTTTTCCCCCTGGGATCTATATGTACTTGTGAGAGAATATCACATGCATTTGGGGAGATGTTTTGTGTTTTGTTAGTACTATAACCTCTATAGTAAATATCCCTTCCTAAATGATTCTCTACTGATGTTCCAGGGATAGGGTTTGGGGGTGGGGGATGTGTTGGAACAGGGAGCACACTGGTAGAAGATTGAGTTGATAGCATTAAAGAATTACTCATTACTACTCAGGACTATCTATTGAACTTGGAGTGGGAGATGTAGCCTGGCTCAGGGGAAGGAAGGAAGAGGACGAGAATAAAATTTTATATAATATCTATTATGTGCCAGGTACTGTGCTCTAGGATCTGAGAGATGTCTGTTGTAGTAGGAGTCAAAATAAAGATCCTTAGGACATATATGGGCTACATGTTTCTTTGTTTATAGCAAATTTGGGGGGGCTTGCTTTCTAATCCATTCTACCCTCTTTCATTTTATGAATTGGTTTATCCTGATTGCATTCATGTTTACAATAAAAAATTTCCCTCATAGCCATGCTGTTAAAATATTTATTGTTTTGAAAGTAATATATATATATGTATTATTTTCAAAACTGTCATATTTTTCTATGCTTTCTTCTAAACTTCCTTTTGTTTTCTCCTGCTCATTATTTTAAAATGTTCCAATGGCCATCTTTTTTGGGTATCACTACTGCTATTGCTCCCTTCCCATTAAAAATCAAGAGAAAGAAAGGAACCTTGTAACACATAAACACAGTCAAGCAAAATGAATCCACATAATCACTATGTCCAAAAATATGTCTCTTTCCTCACCTTGAATCCTTCACCTCTGTCAGGAGATGGGTAACATGCTTCATTATAATTTCTCTGGAGATACAGTTGATTATTACATTAGTCAGAGTTAAGTCTTTTAAAGTTATTTTTCTTTACAATATTGCTGTACTTGAATAAATTGTTTTCCTGGTTCTACTCACTTCACTCTGCATCATTGCCTTTTTTGTAGTTTCTAACTGTACAAAAATATTCCTTTGCATTCATATACCACAGTTTGTTCCTTCATTCCTCAATTGCAAAAAAAAGTGCATTAGAACAAAAATAATTCACAAACAGATGTAGAAAGAGAAAAAATAAACATATCCTTTTTAACCATTATATGATAAAAAAAAATTGTTATCTATGACACTGTCTTAGGTTCCAATTCTTTTCTTTTCTCCCTACCTTTTACTCCTATCTTCAGAATAAGGTATTTTGTTTTCCTTGTGGCTACTCATTCTTGGGTATTATCCTTCCTCTTAATATCTCCTTCCCCCCACAACCTCTGCTTTGCTTTCTTATTGAGTTTGATGAATTTCTAAATGAAACTCTTTACATGTGCATGTGTGCGTGTTCAATGATCATTTGTCCCTTTCAGATAACAGTGACATTGTCTGATACCCAATCTCTCCAACCATGTTGGATACTCTTCTTATCACAAACCTCAATTATGAGAAATAGCAAATTCTAGCCCCCTTTTCTTCCTTTATACACAGTGTATTGCTTTTTTATGTTCCCTTATTTTCCCCTCTTAAAAACCCTAGAACAGAAATAATCTATTCCCATGACATCTGTTTTTCTTATTTGACTCTTCGATATATTCTGAAGACATCAAGATTTTGAAGTAACATTTGTTTCCCACTATTAGAATGCTAGCACTACATCATAATACAGCTTTGTAGTTAGAGCTATTGCTTCACAGTTACCTCAGGAGCCCAAGAGGGGAGTGGCACCTGATAGCCATGAAGTACCCTTATTCCTTGGTCTGAAGTAGAGCAACTGATGATCTAGGAGCAAATATTTGTGTGGAAACCTTCAACCTTCAGCATGAGTTTTTGTATAGTACAATTTAAAGAAGAGAACTACTATTAGCATCCAACATCCTCTCCTCTCCCCACTCATGAGTTTGCATTAAGGTAATTTCAGAGAAAGGATAGCAGTATCCTCCACATTATCTTGAGCCTAGAGTAGGAATAGTTGGGGCCTAGGAGGCCAAGAGCAGTGTTTGACTCTATCCTTAATTCAAACTCTGGAGTCAGATATTTGCCTCTATTCTCAGTTCCAGCTTCCAAACTTTTGCTGTTCTCTCTCTCTCTCTCTCTCTCTCTCTCTCTCTCTCTCTCTCTCTCTCTGTCTCTGTGTCTTTCTCTCTTGTCTTTTTTTCTCTGTCTCTCTCTGCTTTGTTTTTTTTTTCATTCTCCTCAGTTTTTTATCTTTTTGCCTCATTTGGCAAATTTCTCAGTGGTATTAAGATTGTATAGATGAAGCTTGGTTTAGTTAGAATCTTTCTTTCAGCCAGTTATACCTAGAAGAACTTGGGTTACATTTATATGCAGCAGTTTATATACCTTATGTCTTTGTAACAATTTACCAAATGGAAGACAAAGAGTAATGAAAAAGAAATGGCTTCCTAGTTGTTTGCTTTCTATCTCTTGTTTTCATGTAGAGAACCAGAATATTTGAAAAAATAACCTCAGATTTTTAAAGTTTTTATTAGTAGTGGCCTGAGACTCAGATTTCAGGGATTCAGTTTATATATGTATGAAATGAGGAAGTTTAACAATATGATCAATAAAGTCCCTTCCAAATTTCTAGATATTTACCACTAGGAATAGGGAAAACTGACATTTAGTTGACATTTAGTATTCATTTTTAAAATAAATCAGAAAACCAACAAGCAATTAATAAAGTCTTACTAGGTGCCAGGTTGGAAATACAAAGACGGGCAAATATAGTCCCTGTTTTCAAGGAACTTACATTTTAGTGGATGGGGCTGTGTATCTTCCTTCTTGCCTATGAACCTCAGCATTTAAAAATAGAACTCATTTAGATTAAAAAAATCTTTTAATTTATTAGCACAGTTACAACAATTATTTGTTTCTATAATAATCATAATCACACTTTTGAGCTCCATAGGGGTAATGTTATACAGTTATTGGGTATAAATTTAACATGAGAATAAACATACTTGTAATCTTCTCAAAATCATTGTCTCTATATTGAGAAAAACATTAGGGGAATTTGAAAACATGTTTTGTGCTTTTCTCCTTACCTTGAATATTTTATCCAGTTTCGGGTGCCAAGTTTTACAAGTGACATGGACAAGCTAGAGGGCATCCAAAAAAGGGAACATGTGTGTAAGTGTGTGTGTGTGTGTGTGTGTGTGTGTGCACGCACATATGTATGTATAGACACATGGACACACTATTTATCGATCTATCTACAGGTACATATATAATTGGTTAAAGCAATAGAGGAGATTTTTTTGGAGGGGGGAGGGAAATTGAATGTAATAGGTGTTTTCAGGTTTTTGAAAGGTTGTTATAGGGTAAAGGATCAGAATTCTTGAATTCTAGAAATTGGAGCAAATGTGGATTTCCTGCACACACTTGAAGAGTAGCTGAGTGAGGGGAAGGAGAGGTCTTAGCTTTAGTCTCGGGCAGATCTCCTCTCCCTTCTGTCTACATGAGAACTTTTATGTTTTGAAGGGTATGGAGGATAATGAACTATGTATTATTCCATAAAGGTCCTAAATAGCATCTTTGGATCAGGTAGCAGAGGTGACTGCTCTGGGAACCAAAGGTAAATAGGGCACAGCTTCACCATGTTTTTGACAGTCTTCTTGAGTACTCCACAAATGGGAGAAAAGGACAGCAACAAAGAGCTATGAGATATCCCTTTGTTTCATTCTCTCTCTGGGCTTGAGCCAAAATTTCCCTGGACTCTGTGTGTATTTATGGGAGAGTATTTCATAGACTTGGGGGTGGATATTTTGTGTCAATCGTTCTTAGTAAACACTGTTTTCGAAAAATGACTTGAAATTGTCTGGCTAACTTGATTCTTAACTGATAATCTTGGGGGGCAAGCATACCAAAGGGGAATTGAATTGATAGCATTAGAGAATGACCTTTGATCCCTCAGTTATTCCCAGGACCCAGATAAGGAGATGTAGCTAGCCAAACTTTGAAAATCTAAGTGGGATTGAAAGTTGAAATAAGGATTCTGAGAGTTTATAATCATAGATAAGGAAACTGTAGTCTAGAGTGGTTAAATGTTTTGTCCAAGATCATGCCAACAGATGCAGGATTTGAATTCAGGTCCTCTCACTCCAAATCCAGTATTCAGTTCATGTCACTATGGTGCTTCGTGGTTTATTCCAGCAAACCAACGCTATCTCATGATTTCACATTTTGATAGAATGTTTCTTTGGTACCCACAGTTATAAACAGATGTAGAATGGACATAGGTATAGTTGCATGTCGCCTTAAGTGAACATGTCTCATTGCACCACAAATGGCTATTGACTTTCTAATTTTAAAGTCATCAGAGGCTAATAGAGCTTTTAGTTAACTAATTAGTGGCTAGATTATTTTGGTGGAAATAGTATTATTTTTTTTTTTAAAAAACAACAGTACGTTCTTTCATTCTAGTCTTTAACATAAAAGCTCCTGAATGCAGAAAATATTAGTAAAAAAGATTCATGTGATGGATAGTTAACAAATATTCTGAGATGATGGTGGTGAAAATAATGGTGATGATGGTGACAATAATACTAATAGCAGTAGCTTTGCTTCAAAAGGTGGCAATGAATTCTTTCATCAAAAGGTGGAGGAAGCACAAACAAATATTTTGTATCTGATTTTGACCAATAGGGAGGACTTGGTTGCTGGAGTTGAATTAATAGGAACCTTGGGCTGATGTAACCAATCTATTTTAGAACACATAACTGAGATGGTGAGGAAAAATAAACATAGACATGCCCACTATATTTGGGGGAATTAGATTTCAAAGAATAAAAAGAAAGGATATGAAGTATCCCATGGCTCAATATTCTTTCTCTAAAATAAGATTTTATTGATATATTTGTTTTTTTATATCATCATAATTTCCCTTAAGGATCCTTTTTATTTCCCTGTCCCAGAGAGCCATCTCATATGATAGTATTTTTTTAAATAACAAAAGACAAAAAAAAGAAAAAAAAAGCCCAGCATAATTGATCAATATATTAAAAAAATCTGAAAATATATGGAATATGCAACACTTGTGGACCTTCCATTTCTGCAAAGTGGTGGGGTAGGAGTGTCTTCTCACATCTCTTTAAACCATACTTATTCTGTATAATTTTGCAAAATTTGCTTTTGTTTTTTTGTGGTTATTCTTACCATTTACATTGTTATAATTATTTATATATTGTTTTCTTAACTTGATTTGCTTAACTCTGTATCAGTTCATATAGATAATTCCATGCTTCTCTGTGTTCATCATATTTATTATTTATTTATAGCACCATAATATTCCACTACATTTAGCTACCACAAGCTGTTTAGCCACTCCCCAAATGATGGACATCTATTTTGTTTCCAATTCTTTGCTATCACAAAAAATGCTCCTACAAATACTTTGGTGTATATAAGAACTCTCTTCTATCAATGGCATCTTTGGGGTATGAGTTTAGTAATGGAATATCTGGGTCAATGGGTTTAAACATGTTAGTCACTTTATTTGCATAAATCCAAACTGCTCTCTAAATGGTTGTAATGGTTTACACTTTCATCAATAAAATACTTGTGTGCTTATCTTCCCACAACCTCTCTCACAATATTACCAACTTTTATCATTTTTGCCAATTTGTGTGGTGTGAGGTAAAATCTCAGGGTTGTTTTGATCTGCATTTTTATTATTAGTAGTAATTTAGAGCATTCTTTCATGTATTTATGAATAGTTTGTGATTCTTTTGAGATTTATTTATTTAAATATTTTGACTGCTTGTTGAAGGATGGCTTTCAGTCTAATATGTATTTTGTAGTTATTTATAAAGGGGTTTGCCCTTATGTTATTGTCTCTTATTTTGTTATTATATAGAAATTCCATGTACTTTAAGAGTTTGCTTTATAGCTTGCAATTTTGCTGAAGCTATTATCTTAATTTTGAGACAATCAATCTTTGCTGATCACCTAGGATTTTCTACATAAACCGTCATATCAGCAAAAAGGATAATCTTTCTTCTTCGCCTGTCTCTGTGCCTTCAACTTCTTTCTCTTCTCTTACTGATATTGCTATCATTTCCAGAAATATATTAAATAATAGTGGAGGGGGGATGGGGCATCTTTGCTTTACTCCCCTATTTATTGGGAACAGTTCTACTTTATACCTGTTACAGATGATGCTTTTTTAAAAAAGTTAAATACTTTATATTATATTTAAAAAAGGGTCCTTCTCTGCCTATACTTTGTAGTTTTTTTTTTAACATAAATGAGTGTTGTACTTTGTCAAAGGCTTTCCTTTGACCTATTGAACTAATCATGTGATTTTAAATGTTTTTATTTTTGTTTCTAATATGATTAATTGTGTTGATTGTTTTCCTAATGTTAAACCATCTTTGCATCCTTGGTTTAAATCCAACTTGGTCATATTGCTGTTTTGTGTTTGACAGGATTTTATTAAAAAATTTAAATCAATATTTATTAATGATGTAGATTTAGATTTCTTATTATGCTTTATCCTCACCTGGTTTAGCTATTAGTGTTATATATATCTCATAAAAGGAATATTCTAGGGTGCTTTCTTCCTTAATTTTTGAGAATAACTTGTATACTATTGGTACTAATGGTTCTTGAAAAGTTTGGTAGATTTCTCCTGTGAATTCATCAAGACTAAAGATGTTTCTCTTTGGTAGCTCCTTTGTGGCTAGATCTATTTCCTTTTTTGAGATTGGGTTATCTAAGATGTCTATTTTTTCTATTACTTTGGGTATTTTATATTTTTGATAGTATTCTTTCTGTGTTCTTGGTTTTATTAACATTTAGCATAGTAGATACTGATTATGTTTTTTTAAAATTTCTCCTACTTTTGTTGTGATTCCATGCTCTTCATTTACTATTTTATAAATTTTATTTCCCCCCCTCTTTTAAAAAATCAAATTAGATTAAGGACTATCAATTTTGTTAGTATTTTCAGAGAACCTGCTTTCAAATTTCCTTATCATTTCTATAGATTATTTTGATTTCCAATTCATCTGTTTCTCCTCTAATTTTTAATATCTCCTCTTTTCTCCTAATTCTAGGTTAATTTGTTTGTTGGTTTTCTAATTTTTAAAAATGTATATTCAGTTCATTAATACTTATTTTTTGCCTGTTTTGTTAATGTTTGCTTGCAGAGATATGCTATTCCTTCCTGAGGACTGCTTCAGCTATGTGTTCCAGAAATTTTGGTATGTTGTTTCATCATTATAATTTTCTTTCACAATTACTAATTATTTCCTATGATTTGTTATTTGACCCACTTCTTATTAGAGATTTTTATTAAATCTCCATTTGAGTTTCTGTCTTTTGTTTGTGTTCCCTGAACTGATTAATATTTTTCTGCATTATAGGATATGAAGGAAATTGACTAGCAATTTGTTTAGTTTTTTGTTTTCCCTTTTGTATAAGTAACAATGACTACCATGGCACACAACATCCAAAAGTCAAAGTTTTAGGATCTCTGCACTCCAATTCCATTTAACCATTTAACATTCTAATTAGCTTTTAAAAAGTAATATTTACTTCAAATATATAGTGAGAGCAGACATATAAACATTTGCTCTACCACCTGGGGTATATAATCTTTTGTATCTTGAGAGACTAACACAGTATCTTGGCCACAACAAAACACTTAATAAATGTTTGACACTGTGATGTAGTGCAGGACTTCTTAAACTTTTTTCACTTGTGACCCCTTTTTGCCTGAGAAATTTTTACGTGACCCTAAGTATATATGTATGTAAGACAGGTATAAAAATCAAACATTTATTGATAATCATAAAGAAATTAATTTTAAAACAATTCTTTGGTATACATATAATTTTATCATCTATTAAAGGTGAAAGAAAATTTGCATACTCATGGGATAAATATGCTTCTTTATTTCTACATCAAGAATTAAATCTTGGCAGAATATTTGATACTGCAGGATGTAGAATATTTTCAACCTTTTTCAGAATTGATTGATATTTTGATTTTATAATCACCAATTCTGAGAATGCTGCCTCATATAAATACATAGTATGAAATGGCAGAAGTATGTTTAGGGCCATTTCAGAAATTATTGGAAATCTTGTCCTAATCCCAAGCCAAAATTCATTTAACAATTTTTGTAGGAAATTCAAGTTTTAAAACTGTGTTGCTTGAGAACTCGGCAAATTCTTCTTGAACTTTTAATGACAGATGACTGACATTTTTTAAAATTTCAATTGAGTATTGTTTATGAACCCAGCTTAGTTTTTAGAATCAAAATTTGAAGTGAAGTATTTCTGAAACTATGTCTCCAGGCACTTCAGATGATCAATTATAACTCTTACAATTACATCTTTGGGAAGGTTATTTTCAATTATAAAATCATCTGTAGCTGTAAACATTTCGAAAGAACCATTTTCCACCCTATTCTTCCATATGTCAACTTTTTAAATAAAACTTTTAGTTTTATTTTTTAGTGTAAATATGTTGCAATTTTTTCCCTTGAAATGACATGTTTAAATTATTGAGTGTTTCAAACATATCTGACAAATAACACAGTTTTGAAAGCCAGAAGTCATTATGAAAAAAATGAACAAAATCAGATTTCTGTTCAGTCAAAAATATTACTTCATCTTTCAATTTCAATAATCTGTTTAAACTTTGCCCTTTTGAGAGCCACCTTACCTTTGCATATAGTAATAAACTTTTATAATTAAAGCCCATGTCTTTCCAAAGGTTTGAAAACAAACTGTTGTTAAGGGCACAACTTTTAATGTAGTTAATGATTTTGATAGTATTGCAAAGCACAACATCTAACTCTGGTGATATTTTTTTGGCTATGAGTGCCTCTCGATGGATCATGCAGTGAGTAAAAGTGATAACGTTCATTGCCACCAGCTTTAACTTTTGCTACACAACCAACATTCTCTCCCATCATTGCGTCAGCACCATTTGTACAGGTGTCAATGTAATTTTTCCACTCTAAACCTGCATTTGTGAAAAATTCATCAATTTGTGTGCCCTTGTAAAGAGTGACATAACAATAGTTTCTCATGTATGCTTCCTTCATAAACATATCTTACATAAAGTAACATCTGTGCCGTGTTAGAAATATCGGTTGTTTCATCTAACTGAATTGCAAATTTGGGGCTACCCTTAAGTCTGGTATTAAGCTGCCGAAATGGTCACTACTAATTTCAGAAATTCTTTTGGAAACAGTATCATTTGATAAAGGAATTTTATGAATTTCATCCCCATACTTTTTCCCATGAACTATTTCAGACATTTTAATAGCAGCAGGTAACATGATATCTTCTTCTATCATGTAGGGCTTTTTAGTTTTTGCAATTAAATAAGTTTTGTAAGGTGCAAATTGTTGACAGTAACAAATTTCTCAAAACATTGTTTTTCTTTATCTGAAGATTTTAAAAGTCTTTCAAAATATTCCTTTGGTTCATTGCAGTATGCTGCATGCTTGGCATTAAGATGTCATTTTAGTTTGGCTGGTTTCATGCTCTCCACAGCCAAATCTTCATTACAAATTAAGCAAAGAGGTTTTTCCACACCATCATCATTATTAAAAGTAAATCTATATTACAAAAATGATTTGACATATTTTCTTTTTCTTGTCAACTTAGGTGCACTACAACTTGGTAGCAAAGACTCTGTTGCATTTTCATTAACATTTTTACCTCTTGTTTAAATTTAGCCACTTACCATAACCAAAAATATTTTTGTCCTAAAATATAAATAAATATTGCTAATAATTTCTCAAATAAATACTAGCTTTAGTTTATGAAATTATATTTGTTTATGCTTAATTTTAAGAATTGGTGTTCATACCTACATACACATACAGTGGTGATGGTGGAGAAATACTATTAATGGCTTTTGTCTTTACTTGCTGCAGTTAAACACTTATGTTTCTGTAAAAGAAGGCGATAGCAGCAATTTTAAAAATCAAACATTCTGACACTACACAATCCAAAGATATACTAATTTGATATATGCTGAGGAATGATGGTGGAAAAATATTAAAAGTCTTTATTTTTCATAATTAAACCATTATATTTATGTAGGAGAAGAAAACTTTGTATGTACAGTAAAAAACACTGAAATTTATAACATATGGTAGTCTTGAATCTGAGCCAAAATGTTTCTGGCAGCATTCATTGGCGTTGTGGTGTGACGGCATGTACAGTACAAAGTGTGCATGTTGTGTATTGCAATGAACCAAGGGTTGCAACGAAGTCATGCAATGCAACACAGAGAAGTGGTACCAGAAGCACCTCAGATTCATTATGCATTTGATTTTGAATTAATTTTTAGTCATTGCATGTTAAGGAACCTTTTACTGTTGCTAAATTTTTCATGATCCCGACATTCAGTTATGCAACCCCGTATGAGGTTACAACCCACAGTTTAAGAAGCTTTGATGTAGTGAGCAGAATACTAGCCTGGGTGTTAGAAAGTCTTGGTTTCAAGCTCTGACTCATACCTACTGGGTATATGACCCTGGGCAACTAAGACTATAAATTATAGATCAGGTGTCCATATCCATTTGAAGAGAGAGTTAAAGCTTAAAAGTAGGCTCATATCCAGAGTTTCTTCCAAAAAGGAGTATAAAGATACTCAGTGTACAATATAAGTCAAATAGGGGACAGGTAGTTTATTCCTATGCACAAAAGAGGAATACTAAACATAAAAGATAAATAGGGCACATTAACAGAATGATTTAAACAGAATTCAGTAAGTTAAATCATAAGTAGTATTGTAGCCTACTGGAAGGCTAATACTGAAAACTCTTCAAAATGTAAATCAATTTGAAGAACTGCTAATTAGCATTTTATATTGCCCCTTGTTTCAGTGTTTTCTAAATAAATAATGGTATATGCTCCATCTAAAAAGTCATCCTCTGATATAAAAAATTCCTTTGACTGTAGCTAGCCCTAGTGGGCCTCCAGGTCTCTAAATCTCATAACTCATAATTACACCACGAAGCTTAGACGTGGAATGACGTATAATGCTGCACTTAGGAAAGAAAATACAAAACAGAATAGGAAGCTAGTGGTCCAAGCACCAGCTTGTCTAGTTAAGTGCAGTTGTAGAAGTAGTAAGAGGGTGGAGGAAAGAGCACAGACCAATCTCTCATCTCCCACCACGTGGAATCTAGGAACAGAGCATAATCAAAGTAATAGAAGCTGAAGTGGAAGCTTTTAACTCATGTAGACCTTACAACTCTAATTGGGTAGGGGGAAGATCAAGAAACCATTTAGGGCTTTCTACATCATAGCAAAATGCCAAGCCCTTCAGGCAGTATGCCATCACTTTGTCTTTGGCACCAAAAAAGCGCTTAATAAATGCTTGTTAAGTGACTGACTATATGGCTGGAAACAGTTCCCAAAGTATTCATTATAGAACCAAGGAAGACAACTTGAAGTGTGAAAGGGTACCACATTTGTCTCATTCTGTGCAATTGCCATCCATTAATTGCTTTATTGTATATCTACCTTGTCTTCCTCCAGCTAAATCATGAGGAACTTACAGGCATGTTATCTTCTACTTTTAAACTCATTTCAAATGAAGTGTTTATTAAACTCCTAGGCTAAGTTCAAAGCGTGGTACTAGGTGCTGGGCATGAAAAGGCAAAAATGAAAGAAAGGAAGAAAGAAAGATAGGAAGAAAGAAAGAAAGGAAGAAATAGTCCCTGCTCTCAAGTAATCCACTCCACAGAGCTTAGATGGTTATGCACTGTAATAGCTGCTTAATAAATATTGGTTGTTTATTTAACTTACTGAAAAGAAGAGCATAACACAAAACAATCCCCTTTGACCAAGTCGTCCCTTGATGTATAGTTTACATACTTAATAGCATTGAGTCTTCTGTGATTGCATAAATGCTGCTGGGTGGTAAGACGTATCTCATCCTTGTTATTTAGAATCATAGACTCTTAGAGATCATCTTGTCCTATCAGCTCAGTTTAGAAATGAGAATACTGAGGTATAGAGGAGTAACTAATCTTCCCAAAGTCATGCAGTAAGTTACAGAAATAATGGCAAAGTGTATAGTGCTGGACTTTAGAGCCAGAAGATGTGGGCTGAAATCCCATAGAGATTTACTAGCTGTGTGATCATAGGGAAGTTGCTTGACCTATCTGAGCCTTAGTTTCTTCTTCTATCAAATAAAGGGGTTGGATTAGTTTCTTTATAGCTTCAAA